CAATTTGAAAATGTTTGCACAATATCCTTTTCAGTAGTCGTGTGTGGGTACACACTTACTGGTCCGTCCAAGTATATATTTTCATAACTTCTAATAATACAAAACAATCCAAATATTTATGGTTCGCATCCGAAACGCAGCGTGCACCTGCAATATCCAAGCCAATATTAAACTGTGAATGTAAAACATCCAAGAACAAGAACAGCGATTGGCAATGTAATATTATACGTTTATGCACCTAATCAAAACGACGGACGAGCGTAAAACCGCAACCGAGATCGATAATTACCGGTCGGTGTTAACACGTCACGTTAACGGTCCTACCCGAAGTTAGGTCAATTGTTATTTTCACTCGCATTCGATTGTAGATTTTCGAACACGACTACGGCGTGTGTAATGGAAAGGATATTGATGAAAATACGCAGATCCATGTTGACAATCATAGTCATATTATTATTGTACCACACACTCGGGAGCTGTGCAAAACCGATTCATACAAATTGGTCGGCGTTCTTATTGCATTTCCATACAAACATAGGTTCACGTTTATTTACGTAATAAAATATGACAGCTAATTCGATATTGCGGTTTTTGAGAGAGAAAAAAAAACCATGCCGTTTCAAATATACCTGTAATAATAAGTGTGTGCATTCTGTCGCAGCCAGTTCTATTTCGCGATTTCGAAAAATTATTATTTCCGAGTAACTCACGATCTCAGACGTTGACGATATCGATATCGAATCAATAAAAATAAAAAAAATAAAACAGCTGAAGATCAAACGAACTGCTCTGTGTGTCAATAATATTACTGCAAACTGATGACTGGTTCATCGACAATAGTATACCGATGTATTTTGTCGGGTTTCCTTGTATGCCACTTAAATTCACTCATTTAAACTCTAATTACTTACAAATAATCAATTACTTGATTTGGTATAAAACAACACTGTTTTCAGAAAATTAAATAGTAAAAATGTACTCGTTTGCTGTGTTTTAAAAAAGTGCAAATGATTACAACGATAAAAAATTGTAAAAATTAATTTTTTTAATTAACTGTAGAGCCATAATGACTTCAAACTGCATATCTTTTGTAAAAATATTTATTCTTAAAAACATTTATGTTGATGGAGAATGTGAGTATTAAAAAGCAAAAAGTCACTCGGTATGAACTGGAACGGACTACCGCAAAACGTACACAAATACGTACATAAGTATCTATCGCAAACATACCTAATATTTTGATCACTAGACTCTTAGTGAACATTTTTCATTTAATTTGTAAAAAAATAATTTTCTGAAATAAAATACACCCTGAAATTTGTACACGACTATATTATACGCAGTATGCAATATACACTGACTTTACGGATAAATTATTAAAAACATCTGTGCTGCCGAATCCACTATTGGATCACGTATGTGTTTACTAATTACTTGCCTAAGGTTAGTATATAATAATATTAGAACTATATTTTACGAGGGGTTCCACTTCGGGTGAAAAATGATAGAAAAAAAAATATCTGAAAACAAAAAGGTTATTCGACTACGGGTCAAAATATGTATTTTATGTTTTTATTGCCGTCATTAGTCGATATACCCATACTTAGCTATAGTCATATAAATATACTTACACACACACACACACACACACACACACACACACACATACAATATGATATGAGAATAAACGCGTTAGCATATATATGACAGGCTGCGTAACGAGTTTGAGTTATTAAACTCATTATAAACATGCACGCATGTGCCTATATATTATGCATTAAACAGGTGGAAAAACATAAATTTCCATTGGTGGTGTTTTACACGGTATTCATCATTATGTAATAAGAAAAAAAAAAGTAATATTTGAAAAAACTGTTATACATCAAAATCTGTCGCACTAGCTGGTTAGTTGTATCACGAATCTGGATGCCGTAACCTCATAATGTACTCGTATATATACTTTATATCAGTGATGTATTCAAAATATTGCATTGAATAAATAAAAATTTTCTTTTTATATTAAAAAAAAACTCATATATTCATCATGTACTCTTGGAGCTCGTCAAACAATATTCCGTATTCCGTTATTGTTTATTACAATACTATTAAGTTCAAGTTGCAATCATCAATTTGAAGCAGAATCGCTTGAATTTAAAAACTCAACAAAACACAAACCTTTTATTTATAATTTATTAAAATTTAACTTAACGTTACGTATCTCATGTCGTAGCGATGTATATAACAGATACATGTCCATTATTTATATCATTTTTGACTGCTCATACTCGATATAATTTACGGTATCATTTCGACAATCGAATAAACTGTAATATGCTACATATTACTGTTATACAACAATAATGTAACACGCAAAAATTTGATGTTTAAATATGCAAAATGCCACTGTGCATAATAAAACGTATTTTTATCGCTTCACAAAAATGAAAGAATTAGCAGTTTATATATACAAGGGTGGACAAAGTAATATGAACACAATGCAATATAGTTACATATTGTTTGTACTGTATCTCCAACATCAATGAAGTAATTGGCAGATATTTTGGTAGAAGAATGGGACAAAATTCCATTGGAAACTATTCAGATCCTTTACGAATCTATTCCGCGAAGGATTGAAGTTGTTTTAAAAGCAAATGGTGGCCCAACACCTTATTAATAAATCAATATGTAAATGTAAATAAATAAATCGCGTGTATGTCAAGTGTTCACATTATTCTCTCCACCCCCCTTTATATATTTAATACAGATTTAAAATTGCATACTTTTTCTAAATTACTATGAAAATTAAACTGCTGTAGAAAAATTAATGATTTTGTACTTCAACATGAACAAATTTATAATAATCTTTTGATGTTCAACAACTTTCGTGTGCCAAAATTATTTTTAATTGATTATTTGGAAAAAAATAATAATAATAAATGAATAAAAACCGCAGGTGGAAGATCTTCCCTAAAATATTACTATCAAACACGATCACAAAAGTTGAGATCCAAAAGTACACACGATTCGAGTATAATGCATATGGCGATATGACTTTGGCCGCTACCCAACAGATGTATTGTTATTTTATTACGTGGCGACGAATAGACATTGTGTTCTGAATACAATCGAGTTTGTCGCTGCGGTATACCCAACCCCATACCTAAGTATTAGTGTACGTGTCCCACGGTTTCGATGACAAGAATATTCAACACTTAAGTTCTTTAGTAACATTCGCGCGCACACGCTTGCTGAAAACTTATGAGTTATACCACCGATTTGACGTTGCTGAATGTTATTGCAATAACACACCTACGTAAATTAAAGATAAATTTCAAGTGAAAATGTTGCACGTAAGAAAAAAAATATCGTGCACCGATAAGCATTATTAACCGTTTATAAATGGAATCACGATCCACACCATATAACTACAATTTATGAGAAGAGAACAAAATTCAGAGTGTAAACGAAAATAACGCGTTCGACGTAGATACTATAATCTACGTATTCATTCAGCTGACGCGTCAAATCATGCGGTGTTTACTCTCGGTAATCGGATTAAATCGTCAGTGAAACCAGACGGTTTTGGATGACGGACTATGTCGACCGACGTATCGTTCTTAATGACTGAATTGTAACACTTTTTTTTTGATTGCGTGCACGAGTGCTAGAAAACATTATTTTCACTTATACGAGTGTATTCGCACGCGCGCACTGCGGATATATGTTTCGCTTTGTACTTATTACGTATAGTTAGACATATAATTTTATTTCCAAGCCGTGATGACAAAAATAATCATCTGTATTATTTACTTTCGATGAACACGACGAACAGTGTACACAAAACCCTTGGCGAAATATACGAATACACGACTGCAAACGCAAACGAAGACGAACCCGAGGAGGCAAAACGATCGGCTTGTCGCTCTAGTCGTCACCCTTCATAATATAGGTAGTTACAAACTATGTATTTCCGACCGTGCTGTCTAAACAATTATTTGCGAAATCACATTTGTATTGTAACGTAAGACAAACAGTAACAAATACAGGTGTCTACCACAGGTAAGTTACCTACAATTTTTATTCATCACCACTACAACGTAACTACGACTGTAACAATGTCTTTAAAGACAACTCAGACTTCATACTACATAATAATAATAATAATAGCGAACACGAATCGCCCATTGTTTCAAGACTTTTGCCGGTGTCATGCAAGTCATTTTTACGACTCCCGATGTTCAAAATTATTATTATTTTTTTTTTTTTTTTTTAACGACACGTTTAAGCAGAAAATAATTGTAATCGCTCGCATGGCGTCTGTTTGAAACCACGCAGCCGAACGTCAATTTAACGTCCATTATTAGCCATTATTAATATTGTAACACGCTCAACGGACATAAATTTTGCACGTTTTGATATTAGATTCAATTTGATTGCGGCACTAAACAGTTAAACTCGTGGTGATAAAAAAATATTAAATTTTATACTACGCACGTGTCGATTAAGCGTTAAACAGTGACGGTTAGCTTAGGTAACCCAAGTATAAAAACGTTATACGCTTATATATAAGATATAAAAACCGCTTATACGAGGTCGTATATTTTTAGACATTTGATCGTCTGTTAGTTGTTCATCGAGCCATAGTACCCGATGTTAACCAGCAATACAAATCTTAGAAAATATCGATATAAAATATACTATCTCTAAAATGAACAAAAATAGGAGATAAAACTAGAAAGTTGAAACGGAGACAGTCTGCATAAATTACAGGCGATTACCATACACCGAAAAACAGTTGTTTTCGATTCACATCCGCCTTAAAGTTTACGAGGGAATTTGTACGTGAAATATAAGTTTGTCATAGTAAAACGTATATTTAACCACTCTCTCTCTCTCTCTCTCTCTCTCTCTCTGTCTCTCGGCATTTATATATTTGACGTACGGCACAACAAGATGGGAGTGTGAAACGTACAGCGTCATTAGATGGTGGTGGTACTCACGTTTGGGATCGATTGGCGATTCCACGGAGCGGACGGCTTCAGGTACAACGGCGGCCAGCAGGAACAGCAGCGGCAGCAGCGAGGGCCGCGTTACGGTGGCGGACCGCATGGCTGGCGCGATTTGTTTTTTTCGTTCGAGGATTGTACGGGGACCCGTGGACGGGCGGCGGTAGCGAGGGGGAAACGTGTCGCGATCGGATTTCGACGGTCCCTTTAACTTGGAGGGTGGGCCAGAAACGTTGTTGCGACGAGGACGTGGTGTCGGTAGAGACAAGGGTGCGCGCGGGCTGCTCACTGGTCGCGACGGTACGAGCTTCTGTTGTGTGGCCGTGCCGGTGTGGGCCGCATAGTGCGCGTGGGCTGAGCGAGAGAACGGCTGCGCGTATACGAGAAGACGTGTGAGTAATGTGTACGGCCGATGCGTGCTGCGGCGACTGCGCGAGACGACGGGAAACGACGGGGCAAGCGGTACGCGGACGCACCCGAAACCGGAACAACGTGTACTGCCGAGTCGCGCGGACGAAGGCGGCGGTGGTGTTTTCGTTTTTTCTCCTCCTCCTGCTCCTGACTCCTCTGTCGCCCCCTACTACTACTACTACTACAACTCGTTCACCGTTCAGCTCACCCGACTCCACCTACGTGATATTATCACTGTTATTATTACAGTCGTCGCGATGCACTCCCGCTCCGCACCGGCGTTATTGCTACTTATCGCTGCACCGATGCCGCCGTGTCGTTTTATCACTTTTGATGCCCGCCCGACCGTTTTTCGGGACATTTACGCCACTCGACCGACGCCCGTTCGGTTTCTGTCTCGCTCCACCTATCCACCTATCCACCGTCGTGAAAAATTATTTTGAATATCTTTTTATTTTTTTTTATTTAAAATACATCTAATTGATAAATATAAGTATTAAAATCATTTAAAGAATTTTTTTCATTAGTTCTCTACTTGTTTTTGCCCGCAAAGTCTCCTATAATCAGGCCCAGTTGATACCTTTTTTGAGTTTCATACGTTTCATGTACATACCTGCTTGTTGAATACCGTAACCGGTATATATTTTGTTGTATTCTTAATAATTTGTCAAGTTTTGTGCATTCGTGATTCTGAACGTTTTGCCTCTCTAGTATTCATTGCGAGCTACCATTGCAAATATTCATATCGAGAGATTGGCTTTATTAATAATTAATGCCAATGAAGAGGTTGATCAAATCGAATTGTATTGTTTTGTACTATTTATAGAAAAAGACTTAGAAAAATAGTTAACTAGTCACAACGTTAAAACAAAATTAAAAAATATAAGTGCATTTGTTTTATTAAACGTTTGGAAAATATCCTAAAAATATAATTTGTCATGAATGGTCTATAATTATTATAAATTTTTTTTTTTTCATAGTACTGGAATCGCAGTTTTTCTATCTTATTTTTATTTATTTCTGTTTTAAAACTTTACTTGTGAAATAATGCATAAATCATGTAAAATAGCTATTTTAACATCACATATTTCCTTATTTTCATACATCTTAGTATTTACAACGATATTCCAACGTCATCGTGTGATTTGTAAATAAAAGAATTGTCGTACTTTTTAAGCGGATTTTGTCGGCATAATATCAACATGTTACCTATAAGACAATATTTAAAAAAGTATCCACGTAGCAAGTGCAATAAATTCCGCAAAGTAATATATGAAAAAATGATTGTTCGTATACTTGTATAACAACCGTTGTAGGAAAATAAAGAATTAATTTCTACCAGTTTTCAGTAATGAAGTTTTTATAAAGTTCAAAAAAATAACTCATTTTTAGTAGGTTTTACCAATGACAAGCATTTTATTAAAAAAAAAATCCAAAAACTGGGTATTATTTTTTAGCTACATTTCGACTACATTAGACATAAAACGTCATTTGTATCGGTTAAGTATTATTCCGAGAGACGCTTCGTTTTCTACTCCGCTGACGGTTTTCATTTCTTCTCGACGTTCACAGGGAACCAAGTCTGGCATGCGTCCGACGCGATCTCGCACATGGTGTAAATGGTTTTCCCTGGATTCTCGTATTCTGCAAAACAATACAAAAAAAATTAACATTTACGAGCAAAACGAAAAATTTCATATAATGATCATAGCAAAACAGTCCAAAAAGTACTACTTATGTACAAAGCAAATGGAAATATTGGCGAACGCAGCGAATCGTGTTGTACAATTTCAATTACAATTTGTACAAAATGTTGTACAGTTTCTATATATACGCAAATTGGATGGCTAGCGTACGTTACGATCCACAACACTGAAATGTTGTAACTAACGATTATTAGTGTGTTTTTCTCTGAGCGTTTTCGGTTACGTTGTTACAGATGAGGAGTGAACGGATGAAAGACTAACCATCAGTACAATCGGAAAAGAAATGATAACGAAAGAATGGTTACGAAGTTATAAAAGAAACCCGCCGATAATGTGTATGATTCCAGTTCGATCGGAAAACAACAAAATAGTGATACGCGCGAATTTTCGAAACAGTTATGTGGAGAGTGTTTGCGGACGGCAGCATTATTTTCTACCATGCGGAATATTTCCAATCCAAATGTTAAACGCGAGTTTAGGCGCCAACTTTTCGTGTTTCTGCGGCCAACGGGATTGCAATGGACGTGCTCAAACGGTCCGCAGATATCACGATCGTGTACGACAACGCCTTAAAAACGTTCGCGTTGTGACGGAATCGAACCGGGCACTGCACTGATTAACTTTAAGGTTGCTTTGAACAATGACTATCGAACGCACTAGGCGGCTGCTCATAGCGTGTGCTGATCGTGTCATAGGGATTTTTCGTGTAAACCGTACCCGGGTAGGAAATGGTTCGCTTGCCGAAGATGCTGCCATTGAACGGTGGTTTTCTGAACCCGTTGATGGAATCAGTGGCGAACATCAACACAACCACCAACAGGAATACGGCTACGGTGCTCTTGAAGTTCATGTTGACGCGAGGTTTCTCCGAGATTGATGTCGGATTTGTTCGACTGTACAAAGATACAATTGTTATTATTATTATGTTCATATAGAAATTCTTTGAAAGGTAAAAACACTCTTGTACCGTTAAAAACGTGTAAACGATCAAGTATTATTGAATTTCGAAATATCGCAAACGTGTCGAAATCGTTCGAATACTTTTGAAATAATATAACTTGGTAAAAAAAAAACCACTCCTATTCCGTTGCTTGAAACATGTTTGTTGTGTACATATAGTAAAATGATTTGAATTTAAATTAATAATTACCATATACCGGACACCATAGCGTATGCTAAAAAAAACGAATTAGAAATCTATACGTAAATTTGTTGTTTAAAATTATCATTTAAAATGCTACATTAATATTAAAATTCGAATTATATATAATTATAACATAAAGGTATTCGAAGATATTTACAGCGTTTGGGACAAGTGACTAATTAGAATTCGAAAATATGGTATACTTTTGTTTATTAATTATGTTTTTATTACATTTCCCGTCGAGTTCAACTTGTTATACCTATACGCTCATAAGCTAAAATAACAATATAATATTCACGTATTTGTTCTTTTACATCCGGTCGATTATATAGGATGTTAAGGTTCACAGAGCTTATAAAAAAATAAAATAGATTACACGTATTGTTTGCAATCACATCATGAGAATATTATAACGTTTAATATTAACAATTTACAATATTATATAAAGTTGCCATAATTATAAATGCTAAATGAAGTTATTTTCGATTTATCGTTCATTTTTTACTTTTTAAGTATATTAATAGTTGTATTTTATTTAAATTTGAAAATTATATTAAATGGTAAGTAACAAAATAAAGACGGATTTCAACGTTCCTAGTTGGTTTTGAAAATAAAACTAAAAACTAAATTAAGTAGGCAATTCGTTTCAAATTCAATATATTTTGTTACTATGATGTGTTTCATATGAAAATAACAAGCGATAGGTGTTTTTTAATTTTAAATTTAGTGTATACTTTTGAATCCTGAGAGTGATTTTACAAATATTTCCGCTTTATTTTATTAATAACTTTATCTGCAATTTCGAAACTTAAATTAAAATGAAATTGCAATTTTGTTAAGAATTTTAAATTGATAATATTTTATTATCGATGATAATTATTATTTTAGACTAAAACAGACTATTTTATGTAAAAATTGTACCTCCATTTAACGGCTACAATTAACTATCGAAATAAAATGAATACATCAAAATATTTTTTATTTCTATTATTTTTAGAACATGCATTCTCAATAAAATCCCTTTTTAAAAGAAATCGACTAGTCTTAGAAAAAAAATCCTCTAAAGTGTAACACTTATGACTCTCGCGTCATATAATTTATAAATAAAATATAAGCAAAAAATATACTCACAGTTTTTGTTGAGATGAACACCTTCTCTCGCTGACAGCTAAAGTATTATGTTGACGGTCGGTGATATCCGATGCTCTTTTATAATAATTTTTCATCGTAAACTCTAAGTGTAGACATAGAAGCATATGCTAAATTGAGTTACATTTCATTAACTGCGGTGTTATTTTCAAAACGCATTTACTACAACTCGACTGCTCGTACAATTCCCAAATGGTATTTTTTCGACATCCCATAATAACACTATGTGGAAATTAATTGAAATAAAACAATATTATAACACAGTATAAAGTTATAAAACCTAATTACGAATGCTATTTTCTCATAAATTGAACACGCGTCGTCTATTAGAAAGTTTGTAACGTATAATTTAATGAGACCCTTAAAATCCGAGTAGTTGTATTATTTATAGACTTCCATTTAATATTATTTGGAACGATAGCTTCAATGATATTATATGTATTATTAAGTTCTATAAATCTATATTCTTCGTGTCGAAAATGTTTGATGAAATATCTTCTACTTTCAAACTTAAATGAAAATTATTATTTTCTTATTAAATTACACCATTGCGTAGAGTGTAATCTACGACAGTAGGTTATATTGTTGAAAATGCTTTTGTCTCATATCTTGAAGTCTGACAACCTATAAACAGTTCATAAGAAACAATTGTCTTTGACGATACGTGATTCATGTTTTCATAAAACGAGTACCTACACTGAAGTTGCTTCGGTTTTGAGTGTATACAAATACACTTTTTCTGTAACAAACATTTTAAATCAGGTATGTTGTATTTTTTTTTTCATTTAACAAAATAAACGACTAATTTTTAAATTAGGATGTTTATCGAAAAAAAGTAGTATATGTCTCTAAAATAAATTTTATTAGATATTTAAACAACTAAAAATTATACATCTTAAACTAGAATATTTTTCAAGTTATAACTCTGTTATTTTTTTTTTTTTTTTTTTTTTTTTTATTGAAAAATTGTAGAGACATTACAAGTTAGGTTTTTTTTACTTGTGAGAGTGCAACATATAAATCATTTGTTTGAAGTACTCATCTCAGACCAAGGCAAAAATGCATTTTTTTTTTTTTTTTTTTGTTGAAAATTTGAGAAGAGCAATAACTCTAATCGCACTCAGAAAATAGTAAATCCTAATTGACATTACTTTACAAAATATTTATCCCACTATTTTTCACTCAATTAGTTGTAAAAATAAAGTGCTTTTTAGTTATTATAAATACTAATACATTTTAAAATTTTGTGAAAATCCAATACGAAATAATCTAGAATGCCTTAATAAATAAACTATGCATAATTTCAACTTTCAACTATTTAAATACACCCTAGACTAAACTAGAGCAATTCAGTAAGATATGATTATAATTTAAAATTATAAAATATTATCGTTCAGTCTCGGTGTGTGCTATTGATTTATTTTTTAATTATTTTAAATTTGATTTTATAGTATTACTATAAGTAAATACAGTACTATAATGTATAATAATATTGATTATTAATTATTTTTGATAACAATATTTTAAAATAAAAATTTAATACATTTTTAGTTTTAGAATTTTGCTTTATATCGTCAATACTGTTTATTCGATCTTGAATTAAAATTCAAAATTCAACAAAATAACCATTCAGAAACCATAAATAAACACAACTTTGGGATTCATATTTGTTATTACACATCTATCAATAATAAATTATTGTTTAATTATTTCAGAGTTTATTAAACATCAAAATTAAAAAATGTTATTATAATAAATTATAAAATAATACAAGTAAAGATGAAAATATAAGAAACGATTTTCAAACAATTAATTATTATTTTTTTTTAGTATGAAAATTACTAAAAGAAACTCTAAATTCGTAATCCATCTAAAAAGTATATAATTTATTTTTATTAAAACATTTCTGAAATCAGTTTTTTCATAAGACTTACATCGGCGTTATTGAACAACTTATTGTATACCGTTTAAATGCTTGTATCCATGTGTGTATCGCATTTGCCTATTTATAACGCCGCTTAATAATTGTATTCGTCATTACTAGGGCTAGAGGCTTCATGCCCATAAAAACCTTAAAATATGCATGCATTTATGCCCTAAAGAATCAATAAATATGCATTTAAAATAAATTATATTTGTAATAATTAATTAAGTAATAAAATAAAATTAATAATTAAAAATAATAATATTTTTAGATATAATAGATGATCTGAGATAAATATTTTCTTTTTTTCAGATTTGTTTTCATTTTATATTGAGTTTTTGTCAAAAACAAAAAATTTAAAATTCATTTTTTTTTTTTAATATAGTACTTATTATCTTGAACATTACATTGGACTATAAGACCGCTTGTTATCAGCCAAAATATTTTTATATTTAGAAAAGGAACGTTCCACGTCTACGGATCTTATTGGTGCAAACTTAAAAAATGGTAGGTCACTACTACTAATATCTGCGGCCATCCGTCCATAAATTTATTTTTTCCATTTAAAATGTTCGATATTTTTTGTAGTTGATCAAACTCAAAATTTTTCTCCAAAACTTTTTTAATTTTGTTAAAAATCTCTTGAGCAGATTTTTCAATTTTTGCAGAATGTATATGTTCTTTTGTAGTTTTAATTATTTTAATGGATTCAGTTAGTGCCACACTTTGAATTTCAAGTCTAGTGATAGATGAAGAAATAAATCCATAATTTTTTTTATAAAACTAAAAAGCTTTCTCATTCATATAAATAATTGTCAAATATGCATTTATAAAATGAAAATTGGTCAAATATACACTTATAAATGAAAATTGGTCAAATATGCAAAATATGCAACTATAAATTTTAACTATAAACTTTTATTGTTATGAAACAAATTTCTATATTACTTAGCTATATTTTTGATGATTATTTAAAAACATGCAAACTCCTAGAAGTCTCGAGTCCTAGTCATTACTAATGACATATTAGCGTTATTAAAAATTCGAATTAATTAATTATATAAGTTAAAGTGATTCATTATGATGTAATTACTTTAAAACGAGTTACCCATACAGTAGCTTATTATAAATTCTACAATATCTTAGCACTGAAACTTTCACAATGAATGGTTTAAAATTTGCTCGTTGATTAACTTTGATCGAAATATTTTAGATTTGAAATAATTTCTTATATCGCTTTACTGACTTAACATTAACAATGTTTTAAATGAAATAGCTATGTGAAAAAATTTGGAGAATAGTTGATTGTTGTATAACGAAAAAAATTAACTCAGGAAAGACTTACAATTTTCAAAAAAAAAAAAAATGTATTATATTATAAAATTAAAAATGTTTAATTATTCATGCGTATGTATTCAACTTATATACATTTTTTAATTATTTAAATTTAATATGCATTTCTCATAACTTCATTAATCTCTGATTTAATGTTAAAGTAATACATAATATTAATATTATTAAATATCATATAAATTATCTTATAAACTTGCAGATATGTGATATATTTTCAAATACAATTTTTAGTAAAATACATCATTCGAAAATTCCCAGACAAAACATTACTGGAATATTTATATTTAATTCTAATAATAGTGCGTTTTACCGTTTAATTTTAAATCATTAAACTGTTTATTATCATGTAAATTGTATTAATTATTATCCAAAAACTTAATTTACAATTAAATAGTATTTAAAGGCTAAAATCTTTATAATAAATTCAATTTATTTAAGCACTTGCATCTTATAACTAAAAACATAATTGTATATTTTAAAAATCAATATTTAAGTAATTAAACTCTTTCATTACATGTATAAACATGGATGCATTATAAATAAAAAAAATATTATTCAAAGTTAAATATAAAAGTCATTGTTATTAAAATTTCTAAATGCTACAATTTAAACTTCTAAAAAATACGAATAAGGTATTTAATAAAATAACAAAATATGTTTAAAAAAATTAAAAATTATAAACATTTAAAAAAATATAAATCACAATTATAAAAAAAATTTGATAGCCCTAAAGTTACAGTAAAAAATGTTTCACTTATTAGTGTTTTCAAAACAAAAATTTAACATGTATTTTTATATACTTTTCCTAAAATTATTGTGGTTATCTAGTATTTATATACTTTACTAAGGGTAGCTCAATTCTTGTTTTCAAGCATCAATTTAGGAAGATAAAAAAAGTTATAAAAAAAAATTTTAATTATTTTAAATAATTCCGAAAAACATTTGTAACACTTACACTTCTTCTAAATTATTGAAACCAAATATATAAACTCAAATAAAGCATGTAATATATTTTCATAGCTAAATAATATATAAATTATAATTTTTCTGTTTTTAAAAATATTGTAATCTTCTTCAAGTTGTTTATAGTACCCAATTGTAACCTCGGTGTATTGGTATACAATTATTTGACTCTTATTCGACTAAGTTCGTTTGATTAGCAAACGATCGTTCAAAAAATGTCATGACAATTAGATTTAAATGTTGTCGTACTTAATCACTATCGTTAACTTTTATTATTTAAATTATTTACAAAACATTTTCATACATTATTACATTGAAATATTTCTTTATTGAATAAAAATGGATTTTTATCCATAAAATCTTTTTATTAGTATTAACTTGTTTAAATGTTTTCATTTTACAGAACCTGATCTTAATCTATTATCATAGGCTCTGGTTGCTGAGCACACGGTAACAGATTCTCTGACAACTGATCAAAGGGGACCAATGCTTTTGATAATTGAACCTCTGGTAATTGATTAGATGGCAACAGATTGTCTGAAAACTGAGCAGATGGTAACAAATCTTTTAATAACTGAGCCTCTGGTAACTGAGCAGATTGCAACATAGCATCTGATAACTGATCAGAGGGGACCAAAGTTTCTAATAATTGAGTCTTTGGCAATTGAACAGATGGTGGTAGAGCGTCCAAAAGCTTAGCCTCTGCTAATGAAATTTTAGTCTGCGTTGCAACTTCACGAGTAAGAGGAGGAGGAAGAGGAGGCATTCTTTTAAATTCAACTCTATAATATAACTTGCGGCTTCTTGATATTTTGCCGATTGGATGGCCATTCCTAGGATTTATTCCTGATTCGTATATTTTATTATACATAAGCTGTACTGTTAATATGTTATTAGAATTCTTTAATAATGATAGATAACGATCTCTCACAATAGGCAATATGTAAAAACATATTGAGTGGTTGTTGGGGATCGTATTTTCATCAGATAGATCTATAGAATCATTGACGTCCAATGACTTATTTGCAGATTTTCTTGATCGAGTAATATTTCGTATTCTTGACGATCTACCTATTCTATGGCCATTCCTAGGATTTACTCTCTTTTCATATATTGTATTATATAACTCCTGGCGTGTAAATCCATTCTCCTCGTCGGTAAACATAACAGCAAATCTTTTTTCTATTTGAGGATCGATATAATAACATTCACTGTTCATATCCAGTGAATAACCTTCTTCATCGGATAATTCTATTGGATCAGTAATATTTTTTGATAGAGACATTATGTTTTCCTTCCAATTGGTTACCTAAAAAAATTAAAATAATATTAATAAGGAAATATAATTATTATAATTTTTAACTATATACATTTTCATGAAGATAGGGGTAGATCCAGTCCAATATAACGGGAGGTGCGAATATAACACATTGAAAATAAAATATCGGTCTCATATATGTGTGCGTATGTATACGTGCGTGTGCGCGTGTGTGTATGTATGTGGGTTCAAAAATAACTTATATTAAATATGTTAAATTAGGGTTAACACATTATATTTTTCCGAACCTGGGACTTTTTGAATGGATATATATTGTACATATATAATATTATAAATATATATATATCGCCAAATGAAAGAAAAAAAATATATACATATATATATATATATATTTTTTTTTTTTTTAATGAATTATGTATAGAAGCAATATAATATAAATAATAATAATAATAATTCATATTCTTAGTCTTCGGATCTTTTGGGGTGCAGAGTTTCTTCTGTTGATTTTACTACATATTTGACTGATCCATAAACTTATTTTAATAAACACTTGTTTCCCAAACTTGGGTCGTAGAATTCTTCATAAGATGTATTGTTGAAGCATGTTTTTATAATATACCGTTTTTATATCTAGTTATTACCTTGAATTTGTCCATGTGCTGTTTATCAGTGCATTTGAACCCGACAAAACAAAAATAAATTCAACAACTTTTAATAGCTCAGAAAATGCATGATTGTTATCAGTGAATATTTTGAAAATATATATTTATTTATTTTCCATTTTTTGACAATGCCATTCGTCATTTTGTTTATTAATTTTTTCAAACATTTTGAATTGTTCGAAAAACATTTATTCATCAAAATTAAGATTGTTTGACATTATAGCTTTTATAAAGATTACTGATTTTTTGACATTTTCCCGATTTACTATTGTCTTTGGGGCTAATGTTATCCATAACATTGATTTTAAATTAATTACATGTTGATTTTAATTGTTCCATTTTTTTTAAATAGTTTTAACAAAATAGATAAAATTCATCACAATAACTTTCAAAATTAGTTCTATTGATAATACTTCGTCCTCAAGTTTTGTTACGAGATATTTAATTTCTACCGTGAGAAACCTTTCTTTTGTTTTCAATTTTCTTGATATTTTATCGAGTAAAATTTTGAAACTGGGACAAATCGCAGTTCCGAAACACTATCTCAGGACACCGGAATATTTGGTTAAAAACCAGTAGTGTCTCGGTAAAACCGGGACTCATGGCAACCCTATGTTAAACACAACTTTGTAATCAATTAATAAATACTAAACATTAAACTTAAAATACTTCTTTTTAAAATGGTATCTACAGGGCCGGATCAAGGTATAGGCGAGCTAGGCATCTGACTAGAGTGGCACTTTAGTAGGGACGGCATTTTCGAAATTAACTCGTACATTTTTTTTAGTTCTGTCAGTGTTTTATAAGAAAAATATTTAAATTAATTCATTCGTGAAAATCACTTACCTATATAATAAAATAATATTGTCTAAAATTTGGGGCGGAACTAGTGGGTGGAGACGGGGATTCATCCCCGGGCGTAACATTTTAGAGGGTGTCATTTTTGTATTTATTAACAGCTAATTTGATATATTTAACTTTGATAAATACTGTTATTAGGTTAAAACTCAATTAGTATGATTTTATATTAATTATTAGAAAAAAATTCTCGAGAAGAGTATTTGATTATTGGTTTATGATAGGGCGTAATTTTAACATTTTTCCTGGGCGTAAAAATTCCTAGTTCCACCTCTGTCTAAAGTTATTATATAACTTTATATTACGGCCTACGCAGAGCGTTTTCAATTATTCCAAAAATATAAATAACCACACAATTACTTCCGCGATTTCTAACAGTCGCGATAGTTTTTGAGTACCTAATAATTATAAAAATCATTTTTAAGTCTTTTTAAGAATAATTTTATACATAAAATAAAAAATTAAAATTTTTTTTTATGTAGATATGTTACATAAAAAATAGGGGGAAGAGCTAAGTTAAAATAAAAGCTCAATTTTTTTTTTTTAGAGGCGGCAAAATTTGATTTTGCCTAGTGCACTATTTTTGCTTAGGCCGGCCCTGGGTATCTAATATTATTGAAATTAAATATTATTGTATACTTTACTGAAATAATAATTTTGAACTTGATATACGAACGAAAATTAAGTCGGTAAATAGTCGAGACTGTAAAAATAATGATAATACGAAAACATTTTTAAAAAACAAACATGACGCGATGATATTCAAAACTGATAGTTATTTGCATAGGCGCCACCAGGAATTTCGTCAGGGATATTCAACATGCATAGTACATACATTGATTTTTAAATAATGTTTAAATTATTTAAGTTGAATTTTTTCAAATAGTATGAAAATACAAAGTTATTTTGGTTTTTTCGACGGCTAAAAAGTAATGCAGGTTACAAGAAAATCCGATAATGATAATAATAGTCTCTATCCTACATTTTTAAATTATATTCTTAAAATTTTTTTTTAAATCCTTGCACTCCTCTCGCGGCGCCCATGACTATTTTCTATCAAATCACGAGTGGCAAACGTTGTATCATTATCGCTATGACTCCACGAAAACTTTTAATTCAAATATATATTAGTCATTAGAATTTAGACGGTCGATCGTCCAATTCACGATCGCCGGGCGTCGCACCGTGGTATTGCTATCGCGTTGTCCATAGTTATCGCCAATATATTATAAATATTGATTTGTGCGTATACGCACACGCGACATGCACACAATAATGTTATATAGATTACACAAATAACTCAATATTTGTTATGATTATTTTTACTAGGCATTTTTTTCTAAATAAATCACAGCTTATGGCATCCTCTCAGACCACAACTGAAATCGCGGCAACATAAAGGATAAGTTTCACTAAGATATTTTAAGTTAATTTTATTTGAAAAAAAAATCCGTTTTTTATAGACATACATAAATTACGATTTGGAATTTCGAATTGTATGAATCCCAAGTTCATTTTTAGGTTTATTATAATAAATAATGTCTTAAAATAAGTTGTTATGTATATTTTTAATTTTTTTTTTTTTTTAGATTCTGAGTGAATATTAAATGTTGACAAAAAAAAAAAAAAAACAAAAATCACAAAAATCTGCCACATTTTCGTAGGTAACAATTGATAAGACTTTCAACTTTTATACTTAAGGTTTAACATTTTGGTACAAGATTATTCATAAGATTTTCTTTGTAGCCAAAAAAAAATGTTTACCAATGTCACAAAAAAAATTGTAAAAGCGTTAGAAAATGAAATTGGATATTTCAAAAAATTTCAATTATATGATATTAGTTATTTGATAACACCGGTAAGAATTATTTGAACGGAAAATTTGAGTGAAACACGATCGTACAAAATAGACGATAACTAAATAAACACGAAGATGAACGATACATGAGAAAGTATACGAACGAACAACAATTTTTTTAATGTATCGATTTGCTTTCCTTTCGATGGCGATGGCTTTGAGTCCAGCCACTTGCAGTAAGTCAAAACCAATAGAAATTATAATAAAGAACGTTTGGTTTCAGGATTACATATACAAGGATAATAAACGAATCTATTGACAAACAAGATGTTGAGTGTACACCATTCTCATAAATAATCATGTGCAATCGAGATAGGTCATACGTTCAGAGCAATATTTATTTTTTCCTAAAGAATATGTATACTGTCTGGTAATCTAACATGTTGTCCTGTTGCGCGCACAACAATATTATATTCAATATTGTAAAATCCGATTGCAGCAAAATAATTAGAAAAATTAATCAACTCAAGTACAACCCCATCATTCTCATACCTATTAAGTCCTTTGCGTTACTTTGGAATTAGTTGCAACACTGATAACGAGTAATGAGAATGAAAACCACAGCATTACAAGTAATTTTTACATTTATTTTATTAATTATTGTCTATTATGTTCCAATAGATCATCTATTATTTTTTAAATTTTTTCTGTTAATACAAGTTATTGACCTATCAAGTTTTTATAGACATTCAAATCGTATTTACTTATTTACTACCCAATAAAATAAAAAATAATAACATGTACATAAATATAATACTGCTTACTAACTATTATAATAATTTATTATTATTCAATCTCTTTTTGTATTGCTAAATAATACATATTTTTATTCAATAAAACTATATCCCAAGTATAATATTTCATATAAGGTATATTTTTTAAGATTCTGAGTGAAACTAGAAATGTATTTATTTACATAACTATATATACTACTTTTACATTGGTGAATTTTTAAGAGACACACATTGTTTATGTTTTCATATACACAATAGTTTCTATTATAATTAACTAAAATATAATAATAAAACATTAAATAATTCACTAATAAGTTTTATTGACTTTTATAGTTTTTATTCTAAAGTTTTACATTTTTAGATTAATGCACAGCTAGATAACTACTTTTAAAAGATAATTGTTATTGTATTTTATATAATTATATTTATAATTTTATTTTTCAACATTTGTGTAGTTATTCAACAAACAAATGAAATATATCTCATAAATGACAATTTTAAACAACACACATAAAGATTTTATTTTTTAAAGTATTATTATTTTCATGAAGAGTCTGAGGTGCTTTTGGAATAATCTACCGGACTCTACCAAGGTTGTGTTTACTTATTTTGCGTACAGAATTTAATTAATTTTAGTAATTAATTATTCATTTTTATTAAACTATGTTACAGTCCATTGAGTATTGATGATAGAAAATCTCAAATTTATAATCAACTGAATAAACCAACCTAATACTGCAGACTGATGCTGAAAACAATATTTGATTTTTGAACACATGTTTTGATACATTTAAGTATTATACTGGTTTATTTGGAAGATTTATTTGTCATCATATGCATATACTTTAGTACATCATATTCAAAATTGACAAATTTAACCATATTAATATTGCTCAAAATATATTTTGTTCTACAAAA